AAAAAAAAAAAAGGAAAAAGGAAAAAGAAAAAAAGAAAGAAAGAAAGAAAAAGAAAAAAGGAAGATAAAAGGAAGACAACAAGAAAAAAGGAAAAACAATACCTTTTCGAAATCAATCAGGGGGGTATACTGCGAAATGGTGGGGAGGGTTCTCAGAAAGCAGATGTTCTTACTGTTGTTCCCCGTTTTTCCTCTGTCCCTGCAATCTTCCGTTTCCTGTCAACCCCTGTATGCGCGCGTGTGTGTGTGTGTGTGTGCGTGTGTGTCCCACCCTCTTTCCCACCGATTTTTTGGGGCTAGGGGAGGAAGGTCGGATCCCGAGGGGCATCCAGCCATCCGGCCCTAACCCCCCGGCCGCCACAGCACAGCTCACACAGACACTCGTCCACAGTTAGTACATGCGGAATCTTGTGATCAAAATGCTCCTAACCATGCCATCATCAACTCGTCCTGGTTGGTAGTCTGCTCTGTTGGAAAATATTTTTTCGACAAATTTCCAGCGTTCTTTTCTGCCAAATCCGTTGGCAATCATGGTCTGCACGAGTGAGTGGATCTCGTAGGCAGCCTCCTGTTCGTCAGAGCATAGGAGCAGGATGAGAATGGTTTGTGCTGTGAGGATTTGCAAAGATTGTGTGATGCTGCGGTTGGATTTGAACTTCGTAAATTTTTCGGGGTTAAAGTTCAGTCCTTTTTTCTTGTCGTGCTCTGACGTTGAGAATGTACTGTAGGCTGTGGAGATGACCGATAACGTGATGTTGAAAAAATTGGCAACTAATCCTTGACCCTCGTCTTTTACTACAATGGTTTCTTTTATTTCAATGAACTCATGAGGGTAGATCTTTCAAGTGGGGTGTTGGCCAAGTACTCCGTCTTTGAGGAAGCCAGCGATGACTGTACTGTTTAGAGAGCAGAGGTCATCGATATATCTGTAGGTTTCCTCGAAGCATCTGAGCACCTACCATTCCTGGTTTTCGACCAGGTGCGAGATTAGTTGGAATTCGTACTTAAAAAAGTAAATATCGCAGAGGACGGGTGAGCACGCTAATCCCATAGGAATCCCAAGGATCTGCCTCCAGACCCTATCCCCCATCTGCACAGCTGCATTGGTCACCAGCCATTCACACGCGTCGATGATCTAAGCCTCGTCGAAGTAGAGCTTGTTGTAGTCCTTGTCTTGTTGCCCGTCTACCCAGCGAGGGTGAAGTGTGCCATTGGCGGACACCATGATTGCTACCACGTCCCAGGCTGTCCTGGCTCTTCTCCATTCCATAGCACAACCGACGAAGAATCTGATCGCAGCAATTAGACCATCCTCGGAGTTATCCGTAGGGATCCTCTCGAAGCATCGGGTGATGTCAGCGGTGAAGATCGAGCTGACATGTCGTGGGAGATTAACCACAAATTCTCCAATGGATGTGATAGGCCACCAGAAAGTCGGACTGGCCCCCTGCTCCGTCCCGATCGCCTCGGTCTTCCCAGCGCATAATGCCTGTACGTCTTCTGCTAAAAGTTTCAGCAAGCAGGTACATTCGTCCGCGACTGCTGATAGGACGCTGCCAGCAGTATTGGTAATCCATCTTAAGGATTCCTTGTGCGCTTTGTAAACAACCATGAGATGTGGCAGCGGCGGCTTCTCGTCTGTCTGTCTGAAAGGTGCGATGGCGCTGGCTTCTTCGGCAAGTCTCTGCTCGATGGCTGACGGCGGCTGCTGTAGGGCGATGAAGTCTGGTCCCGAGAGCCGCTCTAACGCCAGGCTTCTGATGAAATTGACGCAGACGAATGTTGGCGTATGTGGTGCTTTATCCGTAGGGCAGACGAGGTATCTCTCGGTTAGCCAGTCGATCTCCGCACGAACAGGGATGTTGTTGATTGGTTCTTCCGTGATGTGCCTGTGCTGCGAGTGGTACTGCGGAATGCTGGATTTCGCCTTGCTCATTACGAACTTCTTCACCTGTTTCTCCTCCTCCATGGACAGCTCAACGTCGTAGGTGCTCGTGGCGAGAATGCAATCTAAGGCCTCCTCGATTTCTGCCATGGCGAAGTCCTCGTCCAGTGCCCTCATCGGAATATGGTTCAGACCAGCGTTGAGCATTAGCTGTAGTTGTCCGTTATTTGTGATCCCTGTGTCGTTTGTGATGATGTGCATACTCCTCCCTGCAGGCAGCATCCTCATAGAGGCAGGGCATAGGAAGTCGACGTGCCTCCCAGCTCCGCATCTGCAGTATTCAGGGTCATACTTCGCTTCCCATTCTGCCATTTTGAATTTCCCGAATACCTTGCAAGGTTTGCACAGCTTCGCGCCCAGAGGTTCATCATACTTCCATCCGATGGTTACCTCGTCTAGCCATCCTCCCGATCTTTCGCCTACCACCTGTTTCACTCCCTCCAAGACTAGTCCTCTTAGTGATACAGCTTCCATCAATCTGCTCGTGTATCTAACATGTATGAATTCCTTCCTGTCCAGCTTCTTCCTCCTCCACGTAAGTCTTCCTGAGGGTAATCGCGTCATGCAACCTCCATCTTCTTGCTCAAAGAGCTCCTCCTGCACACCGAAAGGGACGAGTCGAAACGAAGAGTAACAAAATTCCGGGGACGACAAAGAAAACGGATGGGGAGAAGGGGCGAAGAAGAGAGGATACTTGAGGAAACTTTATTATATGCCGGATCGAGAAAAAAAATGGAAAATATACCGTATACGCATTCAAGTTTCATGGCGTTTTGATGCATCCCTTCTTCGCCCTCTTGTTTGTGTCGTTCTTCCTTTTGCCTCTCGATGACTCGGCCGTGGACATAGCGGAACCCCCCTGGGCAGTGAGTTGTCCTCTGCTTTCGTTAATTCGAAGCTGCCGCCATTGTTCGCTTTGGCTCTGCCGCGGGAGGTGCTAGTACCTGCTAGGTGTGCTGCTCTGCCCGCCACTCGCAAGGCTTGCTGCTGGCCTGTTTGTGGCGGGGTGCCCAAAGCATCCGACCCTCCTTCCGTGTCTTGCATCGATTGCTGTTGTGGCGGGTTCATTGCCTGGGGGGCCTCCTATCTGGGTCTTGGTTCGAACGGGAGGACCCTCTGTCTAGGCGAGATGACGAGGGGCGGGTGACCTCGCTGCCTTTTGTTGGCCTGATCGTTCGGCGGATTCCTAGTTCTGACTCGGGGATTGCCTGTGATCCTGGTGGGCAAGAGGATTCTGCCAATGATCAGCGGAGTGTTGTACTTCCACTTGGATCTGTCGATCACAATTTCCGCTGTGAGGGATGGGTCCCGCTCAAGCGCTGTGATGACTTCCGTCATGGTCTCTCTGACGAACATGAAAGTGACACATGCCCCGATCGCCTCTTTCCATGATACTCTCAGGAAGTGGATGAACATGGAGGTTTTCATCTTTACGGAGGCTACGTTAGGGAATAACACATCTGGGTGTGCGAGAAGGTACCATATCGCATGGTCTACCCAGATGGGACCATTCCCACAGTCCCTCTTACGCTCAGAAACGCATTGGCACCTGAGATATGGCCGCCCGACATTCCAGCATTTCCTCAACCCCTTCAAGTCGAATTCCGGGGCGGATCTGATCTTTTTTTGCCACATGGTCGGGTGCGTGCAATCGCATTTCGATGGGTCAAGCAGGGAGAGGATAGGGTACTTCAAGAGGGTTGGTTTGAACGACTTCTTCCCGGGTGGGCAGTAAGGTAAGTCACCGGTCATCGCGTTCGCTTTGCATCTAGCGACTTCCTCCATCGTTAGTCTGCTAAGGAAGACAAGGGCGTTGAGGGAGAATGGGGCGAGATAATTGAACGTGTCGAGCTTCCAGAGTGCTTGACTAAAGCCGAGACCCATGTGCTCTACCCGTTGCGGAGAGGGGAGAGGCGCGAAGGATGTGTATTGCCCCCCTTGGGACGCGGTAGCTGCAGGCGGGCTGCTGATCGCATCGATAGTGATGGCGGCGATGGTGGCTTTCATCTCCGCCATTTCATCGTCCTCCATGCCCATCGCGTCAACGATAGCATAGTCTGTCTGAGTGTTTTCAGGCGCCTGCACCTGGAGGTGCGAATGGTCCAAGCCCCAGATTTTAAGGAATAATTGTTCGACCCTTGCGTTTCTAGCGGGTTGTTCAAGACATTCTTGTCCATAATCTACCTTCCTTCCCTCGAGTTCCGTAGCTAATCCTATGAGCTTCGCATCGAACGCTTCCCTACCCCCATCCCAGGCGGAGGCGAGATTGGCGAGATCACTGAACCCTATCATGCTAAAAAAATTAGGAAACCGCCTGGTCTCAACCATCGTTTTCATTGCTTCCAGGATTTCAGGTTTCATGGTGGCGACCAGCGCCTGCGCCGGTTTGCTGGGCCACGCGTGGTCCTTTAGCCATATGTGCTTGCCACTGATCTCATCCCACCAACCTCCAGGAAAGAATTCCTTCAGAGGAATCTGCAAAACAAACAGACAACAAGCCACGGTATAGAACTGACAGGGGAAAACAAGGATGGGAAAGCTTGGTAAGACCATGAAGTTATGTTTACAGCTCGTTCCTTGGTGCAAGACCTGCATTCTCCCGTTTCCTTCCAATCCCATATCCTTCTGGATGCTCTTCCGCGGCCACCCATGCCATCCTCGCTTGATTCTACACAGGGGTACGGTTGGTGGGACACACCACCAACGGCGCTGACGGGGGGCTTCCCCCACTTAGTTGTGTGTAACGTTACGTCATGCTGTGAAACATCATGTCGAAGCGTGGTACGGAACCCGTACCACGATCAAGCCCCGATATAATATTTCGGCGTAACCCCCATTTTACTTGTCAAGCGCACACAGGGTTTTTCACAAGCCATTCTCATCCGAATACAGGAGGAATCAGTTCGGGAAACCTAGGGGCGGTATTTTTCGGTACTTCTGCACTCAATCTTTCGACCAAGAGGCGCTATCCACCCTGTGTTCCGAATACAAAAAAAATAAAAAAGAAAAAATAAAAAGAAGAAAGAAGAAAAAATAAAAAGGCATAACCACCTCAATGCAGAATCTATTCAGAATAGGGATAAAAAGATCCTGATAGCTGCTGATATCTACGAAGAATCGCAGTCGCGATTCTCAACAGTACTTCGAGACCTTTTATATTAGTCGTGAGAATTGAGACTGGTGCCAAGTGAGGAAGATTCATAGCTGTATTTCCTGGTTTGCGCAAATGGGTTAGGATCGGATTATGTAAATCAGTCACCCAATCGGGTAAAAGGGAAGGGAAAAAAAGAACCAGAAAAAGAAGGAGAAAAAAAATTTGCACCTATGCGTGGAAAACAAGGGCAAATCTTGGAAGCGTTGGTATCTATAGGTTCCTAATCTTCTAAGTACTTTTGAAAGGGGCTCAAAAAGAAATTTATGACTTATCATTGGTGTAAAGTGCACTTGAACACGAATCGATGACTTATTTTACGTAGGTGATCGATTATTACGAGAACTTAAGTAAGCAGGCAAGACTGGTCATAAATACGGACATCTCATAGGCCATCTATTGTGGTAGTAGCTAGTAATACAACACATGCAGAAACAAGCAAGGAAATCTCTATCCATTAATCGGCCGTTGGACAGAAAAGGATCTTATCCTTGATCGTAATTCCTGAGTTGGTGTGGCTAATCGAACGGAGGTAGTATCAACCCTCGAGCTCGGCCCTTCGGTCAACAGAGTGGTGTTACAATCGTTCGTGACCATTTACCAGAAGGGACCCGAGCAAAGATGGGTCTTGAGAAAGGCGAGATTCGGGATGCGCATAAAGAGATCATACATGCTATTGCGACGAGATATGCAAACCATGCATTCGCAAACCAGATATTGAGAGGACATCTTCTATATTTTTACGAGCGGCGGTAGTACCACACATCGTGTCCAACCCCACGGTCAGTCGAGTGGTGTTACAACCGTTCGTGATCAATTATCAAACGGGATGAGAGCAAATATAGACCTCAGAAGAGGCGAAATTCCATGTGTGCAAAAAAAACATACATGCTATTACGAGTAGACATTAAATCTACACAAATATAGAGAAATCGTTGAATTTGGAATGTTATGGTTAAACGAACGGTGGTAGTACCATCCATCGTGCTTGACCCCATGGTCCACCGAGTGGTGTTACAATCGTTCGTGACCAGCTGGAGTGAAGATAAAAAAGAGGGAAGAAAAGAAAAAAAGAAAAAAAGTTTAAAAAACGAAGAAAGAAAAAAGAAAAAAGAATAATAGAAAGAAAAAATTTGAAGCGCACAAAGAAGCAGCCATACATATTGTAGTGAGGAGGTATGAAATCCACACGTTCGAAACACACAGATACCGAGAAAGCATCATAGTTGGTCGTCGGGATGAATCAATTCCAAGTTCACCAATTAGGACAACAAGCGGGGGCAGCGGGGGTGGAATGGGGGGAGAGAGAGAGAAGTAGACCGGCTGCACTCCCAGAGACGTCTCCACATAATATGGGAGATGGCCTCGACAACAAAAGCAGGGAGGGTAGTGGCAAGCCCTGAAGCGCTTTTCTGCCGTTAGCCACCATTGCACGGCTTCATCAGAGGGAAAACTCCTGCTATGGACGTTTGGGTAATGAGAGGGGTGGAGGGGGAGATAGAGTCTGCAAATGGTGTAAGAAGGCTAGAAGCGCTAGAAAAGCAAGCAAGGCAATGAAGGCTAGGAGGACGAAGGCAAAAATGTCGACAGCGACTAGAGCTCTGTTCTCTGCGTCATCCTTTTCCAGTGCCATAGCCAGCAGCGTGAGAGTTTTCGCGAGCGCCCACCGTAACAACTCGTAGGGGGCCACTATCAAAGCGAGCATGCCTTCCGGGGCGCGCAGTGCAAACAAGCAGAGCGAGCGTTGGCAGCGCGTGAAGTGGCCTGTGCCCGCACCGTGTAATGGCAGTGCTCAGCGCAGAGGAAGCAGGCAAGAAAAGGTAAGGTGAGCGCGAAAGAGGAGAAGCCGGGAGCTATACCGCATCTTCGGGGTTGCTGATCAACTGGTCCACCATAGCCGGGTCCACTTCATAGTCCATAGCTCCTAAAGCCGCAGCGCATGAGTCCTGAAAACTCCGAAACTGTCTCCCCAGCCCTCGATCGGTAATCTCCTGGAATTGCGCTCAACTTAAAAGTCGTACGTCCCTTGGCTCATCAGTGCGCATGCATTCTGAACGAAAAGATGGGAGACAACGGGCGCGGTCTATCCCTAAAATAGTCCCCTGTCGTAGCGTGGCGTTTCGCTTTTCCTACTTAGTGCTGGTTTCGAACCCGAAAAAAGAAAAAAAGGAAAAAAAGGAGAAGAAACGAAAAAAGAAAAAAGAAAAAAGAAAAAAGAAGGAAAGGGGAAGAAAATAGGGAAGAACCAAAGGGAGGAGAGAGAATCGGAATGTTTGAGAAAACTTTTTTGTTTCGCACGCTTCGGCCGATCAACGCTTGCTGGTTAAGCCTCCTAAACTGTCCAGTGATCAAAGAAAGTCGAAA